CACACTGGCTACTTAGGTTTACATTTAAATTAATTAAAATTAAATAATAATTATTTAATTAATAATTAAATAATTAAAATTAAATAATATTAATTAAAATTAAATAATCCAAAATGTGATTCTTCAGCTACAATAGCTACCTTTCAAGTGCTAAATAGCCACATGTGACTAGTGTCTATTTTATTGGACAGTGCAGACACAGAACATTTTCATAATCGTTGGGAATTCTGTTGGAGAGTGCTTATCTAGATAGAGACTCTCTTTTGCTAAACTTTAAAATTCTCCCTGGGCCGGGCGCGGTGGCTCACGCCTGTAATCCTAGCACTCTGGGAGGCCGAGGCGGGCGGATTGCTCAAGGTCAGGAGTTCAAAACCAGCCTGAGCGAGACCCCGTCTCTACCATAAAAATAGAAAGAAATTAATTGGCCAACTAATATATATAATATAAAAATCAGCCGGGCATGGTGGCTCGTGCCTGTAGTCCCAGCTACTCAGGAGGCTGAGGCAGGAGGATCGCTTGAGCCCAGGAGATTGAGGTTGCTGTGAGCTAGGATGACGCCACGGCACTCACTCTAGCCTGGGCAAGAAAGCGAGACTCTGTCTCAAAAAAAAATAAATAAATAAAAAAAATAAAAAAATAAAATTCTCCCTGAAAGATAGGCTCACCTTGCTTTTCTCTCTCTCACCCTGATACCCCTCAACAATCTCTTCATTATGCATATCAGTTTAGTCTCTGGGTTTGCTATTTTTTTCTTCACTTAGCCAATTGCCAGATTCCCCATAAAGAAAACACCCTGGAAACTGACACAGCCAGCATGAATTCTCTTATGTAAGGCTTTCATTTGATTCTATAATTCTGTATATAGAAACCTCTTTGGAAATCCAGACATTTTCCAGTGGGTGGAAACAGAAAAATGCACACATCAATAAATCTTGTTCATGTGCACTGTTCATGCTTGCTAACCTTCACTAAATGTAATAGCAGAGCTAAATGATTTAAATAGGCTGTCAGGTGCTTCTCATTTCTACCATAGGTGTGGAATAGAGACCATTCATTGAACTTTTATAGAAAAGTGGGAGTTGGCACAAAATAAATATGCACTACTTGATGATGACTGAATGATTTTCCAAGTTATCGTGAGTTGTTAGAAGGTTCATATGTTGGTCATTCACCTCTTTGCTCTCAAATGCATTCTATATCCTCTCTCTGTAAACCTTGTCAACTGGCTTCCAGCAAGGTTTGCCCAATGGAAGGTACTGATGAGAGCAATGGAAGGGAGATGCCAGGGTAACCCCACCTCCCTTCTAGGAAGCATTTCCAGCACCATCTGCATCTCCTCTATTTTTCTGCTTCTTACCAGATAGGCCCTTCTTCCATGGATCCAACTTCTGTTAGGTGACCCAGCTGCTTGGTTCTAGTACTACTATCTACTCCTTTTGTCCTCCTTGCCCACTGGTGTGCTGGTAAATTTTTAACAACTGGCTCTCTTAGAGGGGGAGAGGGGAAGAGAAGAAGTCCTGATTTGAAATGTTTGCCAGTGTCCATGGTGTAAATACAGCCTATCTTGCTGTATATTTATTTAACAAACTGTTCTCAGGAGACTATACAAGGTAACTCCAGCACATTACTGCTCCAGCCCTAAGCAAAGTAGTAGCTTCCTGTGGTGAATCTCTGGGTTCTCTCACAGCTCTGTTTAGTTTCTCAGTATTTTTAACTCCCTTATTGCTAGTTACCTGAATTAAATTATTTCTATTAGCTATCTGGCATTATATCCTAACTGCATATTGTTAAGAGAGTAGAATTTGTTAGAGAAGTGCTTCTCAAAGTACGAGAATATAAATGAACCATAGGACAAGCATGCTGGAAATTAAGCTGATATCATTGGTTATAAAGAGTGAGACTTTCTAGATGAAGTGCTAAAGGAAGCAGTGAATCAATTTACATTGTGGCATAGCTCCTTATCTCACTATACACTGGTGACAAAGTGTGTGGGCTGCTAGTTGTGTGCAGACCACACTTTGGGTAACACTGTAATAGAGCACTTTGGAAAAGCAATTTGGCAATATGTATCAAAAGCCTCAAAAGCATCCCATCCTTTGTATCACCAGTTCTACATTAACAGAATCTCTTCTAGGAACTCATCCAAAAAGAAGGGAAAAGCCATATGTACAAAGAAGTTCATTACAGTATTCCTTAAAATAGAGTATATTTGAAGCGATTTCAAAGAGAAAAAAATAGAAAATGATTACTTAAATCTATTTAATGGGCTATTACGCATTTTTATAAATTACAATTTTCAATATTGTGTCAATATGAAAAAAAGTATATAGTACTAGGCAATAAAATCAGGAAAGAAAATTTTACATACATGATGAGAATCATATAAGAATATGTATGTTATAAGGAAAAGAATGAAAAGAAATATATAAAATAATAGTTGAATTATGTAAAGGAAGCATTAGAAGATGGATTCTTTCCTCTAATTTTCAAAGAGTGACTTTTTTATAATGTAGGCATTCCATTAGTTTTGTCAAATAAAAAGTTTTAAAAAGATCTACCAAAAAAGTTAATAAGAAAATTTAGAAGAAAAAATATATATTAAGACACCCATGAATACTGTTTTAGTTTACGATATAAACCTTGGATGGGTCTGAAGTTAAATTAAGACCCCCAATCTGCCCATCTGTCATTCATTCCCCATGCATGTTGCCTCCTTACCTGAATTTCATCTGCTTACCAACCGCTATCAAACCTCTCTTTCAGAGAGGTGGCTGAAATTACATATATACTTACAAGTAAATATGCTGCCTTTCATGTCTTTTGAGCCTTCTTCCTACTATAGAGTGGACGACTGTCCCTTAGAGGAGCACCTGCCAGCAATTTGTAAACAGATGGAAGTATTGAAGGCCTGAAGAGTTGGTCCCACGAGATCCAAAACAGGTCTATACTTGCTCTGCTTTGCTTGGTTTTAAATTCCTTACCCACTGAGTACTTGGTTCCCTTGAAAGGACAACAACTGCTTCCTCTGCTATACCCTCTTTTTCTCCCTATTCTCCTATTCACCTCAGACTAGATCTTTAACACTGCTTAATTTAAAAGGCACACCTAAAAGCAAAAAACAAACAAACAAACAAACAAAAACTTAAAAACCAGTCTTCATCCAATTTTTCTACTTTTAAATAAACAAACAATACCCAATGGCAGAATTCAAACCACCAAAGACCAACATCTGTGTGCACCATAAGTATAAAATAACAATAAATATCTCAGGTTCTAGAGCTCAATTGCCTGGGTTTAAATATTAGATTTTCCACTTACAACCTGGCTGCTTTTGGCCAAATCCTTAATCTTTCTGTCTCTCAGTTTCCTCATTTGTGAAATGCAGATAATATCTCATAAAATTGTTGCAAAGATTAAATTAGTTATTTCACATAAAGCACTTAGAACAGAGCCTGGCACTTGATGCATATTCAATAAAGTTTAGCTCATATTGTTTTAAGTTCTTACTCCAAAAAATAAGTATTGCATGATGTAGCCCCTGTAAGGCAGGCCTCCCTGCCCTTCCCCAGGTACCACCAAATCTGCATGAGCATCAGTTAGAGAACCTGCTGGTCAAATGTAGCATAGTTGATACAAAGATCCCCATTGTTTTTCCTAGAGCTTTTTTCCACTGGGTCCATGATCGGTTTGAGTTTCACAGGCACAAAAATGAGTAAAACCTTCCCAGAATAAACTTTCAAAAAAAAGAAAAAGCTAAGTTAGCTCTTGACAATTTGGGAGCCCAAGCTCTTTGGAGAATGATTCACAGTGATACCATTCTATTTACACCACTGCCCAGTGAGCGGCCATGCACAAACATAGCAAGGAGTGTGCGCTAGGAAACATTCTGAGTGCATATTCTACACATGCATTTCTGGGGATGTTTGAATGTGGTTTGACTACCTTCCAAAGCCAGTTAAAACTGGGCTGGTAGGCCTTCGTCTCCTTCCTCCCATTTCTGCCACCCTAATATTCTTACTGCTGAATATACTCATGATCTCCACAAGCAGGATTCATCTTTTTCCAGTCCCCAGCCAACTCAGACCAAGGCATCACATCCAACTCAGTCCCACTGACCCATCGGGCTTGGAATGAGTCACTCCTGTAGCCCTGAGGGCTGGGTTCCATTAGCACTGTTTGGGTCCCACATGGCTCTCTTGGATCTAAAACATTCTCCAGAACCTACGTTTCTTCACAAAGCTGTGAATTGTCCTGTGTTAGCTCTTCCACCACTACCCTATATGGGGCTTGGTCAAAGAACTGGCCTTCAGTCTTGGTCCCTACTCCTCAGTTCTGGCCAACTTCCCTGAATAGTAGGTCCTCCAGCCCAGCTCCCAGGATCAGAGCCGGCTCCACTGCAGACTACTGGCCAGGGATTAAACAGGACTGACCTGCTCATACATGTCCTCCTGGTTCCCTCTCTCAATCCAGAACCCCTGGAAAGGACTCTTGTCTACTATACTCATTCCATCTGAGTAGTCACTTCTCTTCCAACCCCAGAAAACATGTCCCCTCAGAGCTACCATTCCCAGAATTCTAAGTGAGCCTAATCCGAACTCTGTCTTGGCCACAAGACTTTATCTCTAGACTCAATTTCTGGAGCATCAGCTTTCTCACCCCAGACCAGCCTGGGGTCTAGATTAATGTCTGTGCCTCACCCCCTTGTTGCCTATCCTTTGCCAACAACTGGGCATGGGACAAAGAGCATTCTGTGAATATTTCTTGTTAATTGAAAAAAGAAAACTCCCCAGAAGTCTTAGGCTCATGAATTACAGGCAAATTTCAAAATATCCACAGCCTCAAAATAGCCACAGCAAAACATCATGATACAAATGGAAACATGATCATATTCATTTCTTGAATTTTCCATCTCATCAAGATAAACCACCCGAAGACAGGAAATGTCAAAACACTTAGAACCAGCCATCCTGCCATGCTTCTGTCCATGCGGACATGCTTACCTCAAACCACTGCCCGTGAGACTGCATCTTGAGGATGACACAGGGGTCTGGTTTGGAAAGGGCATCTCTGTCGGAAATGCCTTTGCATGCCACACGCAGCTCCACTTTGGTCAGGCAGGGGCTGTTGAAGATTCCCAGCGTGTTGGCAGCTGACTCGTAAATGTTGCTCATCTTCTTCATTCTGTTTTAGGCACGTAAAAGAAGGAAAAAAAGACACACTAATCACTGTAGCATTTGTCAAAGGAAAAGCCCCCCTAGTCACCCTTCAGGAAATTGATACACAGTTTCAAATATCAAAGGTGTATTTATTATCTCACTTTCCAACCTTATGACATAACTCCAGTGAAACAAATCAAAAACCAACAATAACAACAAAAACAGGCATTGGTGCAGACTTGACTAAGAACACTCTTTCCCTGTATGATTTGCATACATTTGCATAGTAGAATTTTTAGTCTGTGAAACAAAATTAATGAATTAGTGCAGTAGACTGCAAACTGCAATCCAGCTCTCAATTAAGTGCATGGCTTTTGTGAGATTTTACAGATTTGTTGGTTAATCAATTTAATAACATCTCAAGTTTTTAAGACTCCCTAAAAATCCAACATTCCTCCTATGTTACAGTGCAGAGAAGTATATTGTTTCACCTGAAGAAACAGCCCAAATTTCCCATCCTTAAAACCTGGCCCATGTCAAGATGCCATCAGCAAGCCAGCTGCAAGAGGCTCAGTGTCTGAGTTCCTGCCTGATATGCAAAAGTCTATTCTTACCTTTCCCTTCCCCACTCCCACCTGCCACATCAGAACTCAGAATCAAAAAGCGGCAAGTGAAAGGAGAGGAAAAGCACAAAGCATATGATTCTGAACTCATGGAAACAGCAGCTACATATAACACAGCAGGCCAACGACACTTTGCATCATAGAGACCCAGGATACAGGGATCCACCAGAGGCCACCAGCACTCTTCTCCTCCTCTGAGTGTAAGAACATTAGAAAATTTTTTTCAGGAGCAAAATTCAATAACCCTCTCATGGAACACTGTGTCCCTATAGATTCTCGTTAGAAAAATGATAATGGCTTCCTCAACCTCGCATGGCGTTGGTGGCTTATAGTGGAATTTCTTCATCTATAAAATGGGGATAACCTCTCCCTCTCTCCTTCCCTTCCTTCACAGATATTTAGTGAGCTTCCCTTTGGTACTAGCACCTTACTAGGTTCAAGTTGAGTACACCATGCCACCTCGTTTACAGGGAGGTGGCTGTGCCTCAGTGTCCCCGCACATACTCACATACATGAACAAAGTTTTATTGTAACAAAGGTGTGCTCATTCATTTACACATTATCTGTGGTTGCTTTCACTACAATGGCAGAGTTGAGTAATTGCCCACAAAGCTTGAAATATTTACTATGTGGCCCTCTTCAAAAAGTGTTTGTTCAGCTCAGTTCTAAAATATCAGGTAAGGAGAATTTGTAGTCGGGGAAAGTTGCAATTCTATTTCAGTATGTGTTGTGGAATTAGTTTGAGGATGAGAGCTGCTCTATCTTCTACCAAACTGAACATTAATAGAGACTTTGGGATATTTGTTTCTCTACCTATGAGAAAATTCAAGCTGAGAGAGGACTGGCAGCTTGCCCACACCATGCAATTATTCTAAAGGCAGAGCTGGGGCTGGAATGCTAGTTTTTTATGCTGTTTTTATACAGGTAAAACCTTTAGCTAGATAACTGTTCAAATCTACAAGGAATAGTGGCTATAACAACTTTCCTTGACTTATTTCAACCTCCATACAGTTATATTTCCCTTCTATTTTTAAATAAATTTTATTCAAATATAGAATATATGCAAGTCATACATCCACAGCTTAATAAATTATTGTTGTTCCATTTTTACAAGTTATGAGCAGACCAATAATTAAAGCAACATAGGTGACAGAGTGTATATGAAATGAAATTTATAAGAAAGCAAAGGGAGGGAAGGAATTAGCTAGTGGGAAGATGGCTTTGTGTTTAGACAGGTTTGGACGTATGTTATGAACTCTATCAATGTTTTGATAAGGACAGCTGATTCTTCTATCAATGTCTTCCTGAATTCTGCTTTTCTCAATGCCTTAACTGGCTCCTTGGAATCTACATTCCTCTTCTACAGTCTTGACTGGCCTCTCCTGTATCTATGAGCCATCTCTGCCTCTGTCCCTAATCTTGAAGGCTCATGCCCATGCCCACCCCCTTCTAGACTCACTGACTGTATTCTACAGCACACAAGCTTCTATAGTTGGGAAATCTTCCTGAATATGCATCTTAATTATGAAGTATAATGCAAAAAAAAAAAAAAATACTCTGTCAGGGAGACACGGAGTTCCAGATTGAAATCTTGGCTCCTCTCCTGACTATCCATGTGTCTTGGGCAAGGTCCTCAACCTCTTGGATAGTAACACCTACCTTGAAGAGTTGGTGTAAAGAGTAGATGAAATAATATATGTAATATGATTAGCACAATACTAGGTATATTGTAGATGCTCTAAAAGTGGTAACTATTATTATTGTATTCTGAGTTATCTCAAGATAAAAATCATTCATTCTCCTACTACCAACTGGAAATCTCTTAGAATTCTCACCACTGCTTTAACACCAAAGTTCTACTAACACATTTGAAGTCCTTCTGTCTTTGATGCCCAGACAATCTGGGCTTACCACACTCTACCTAAGAGCACACAACAGCCTCTCAGATTGGCAGTTTATCTGGGGATTCATACACATGAGCCAATAATTCTAACAGGTTCACAAGTCAAATAGTAAAACAAGGGTGCCAGTTCTAAGAATATTGTGAAGCTGCTTTATCAACTTACTGGGATAGGCACTTTACTCTTCAGTGTTTTTCCCAAAGCATTAGCTGTTTCCCTGGGAATCCTATATTCCACAGAAGCTCTTTCTTTATCCCTATGACACATGGTCACGTGTCATGTGCAACTCACAAGGTACCAGATAGGAACTGCAGAAGTCCCACAATGCAGAGGGATCAAAGGTCTCATCCTCATTCATTTATTCATTTTCAGGTTAGGACAACAGTTTTGGTTCACAGGTACCTGGTTATGTGGATTTCAGACAATAATATCTAGTTTTAACTATCCCTCTCTTGCAAATGTATTATAGCCAAGAAATCTCTGACTATAATACAATGATGCAGGTGAGAAAACACCATGAAATGGCAGAGGTGACAGGTCTACTCCTAGTCTGAGGTTTCCATCAGCCTTTGTACTTTCTTAAAAATGGTAGCAATATAATCACATGAGTTAAAAGTTGCCAAAAAAATTTAAAATTATCAAGCCTTCTTGAAAAAATGAGTTGACACACACAATCATTGATGGAATACCCCACACCAAGTGTATGTAGTACTTACTCTGAATTATTAATGATAATAAATTTAAATAGTTTATAAAAGAATGAATGAATGAATGAACTGGAGGCACATGTTTAGGGATGTTTTTATCAACAGAGTACATGATCCAGCAATTTTACAGATCGCTTCTTTAAGCAATGGGAAACACTTGGAGGATTTGGAGCTGGAAACAGACGTGAGCAAATAAGTGTTTTATAAAGGTCCATCTGGTGCCAATATGATGGCTGGACTGGAGGGGAGAAAAAGGTTGTGCATGCATAAGGCTGTTATGCTGGCCATTTCTATTCCTCCCCTTCCCTTGAGTCTCCTTCCTTCTCTCTGCTCAGGGGCCTGAAAGGCTAGTATCCATTGACTGCCAGCACACTGTTGGCAAGTTTCTTGTTGGGTTTGACTTTAGTCAATGCAGACCTGGGAAAGAGAAGAGAGAGAGAACAGCATATTTCTTCCCAAATTCTACCCTGATCCTTAGCAGTGGCCAAGCTAATGGCCATAGCTCTATCTCCAAGGCTCCAGCTCTCCCTGGTCCTCAGTAACACCACTTCCTCCACTTGCTCCTTCAGGCTTTGGGTGGTAATGGTTTCCTGCTAAGAGAGTCTCTCCATTGTTGGCTTTAATGAAATGGCCATGTCGGGAAGGCAAGGAACTGGGGATAGCCTTTAGCCAATAGCCAAACAGAAACTGAGACCCTCATTCCAACAAGATGAAAGGAAGTGAATTCTGCCAACAACCATGTGAGCTTGGAAGTGGATCATTCCCCAGGTGAACCTCAGATGAGACCGCAGCCCTGGCTGACATCTACAGTGCAGCCTTATGAGACCCTGAAACAGCAAATCCAACTAACCAGTGACCATATTCCTCACTTATAGAAACTGTGGAGATAATAAATATGTGCTTTTAAGCTGCCAGGTTTGTAGAAATATTTGTATGCAAAAACAGATAACTAACACAAAGAGATCCAGGGTGTGTGTGTGTGTGTCTACAAACTCCTTTAGGTCAGGAACTATTTCTTATACCTTACTGCATTCCCAGTAGTGCTTATGTGGATAATATTTGTGGACTGGTTATGAAACCAACCTAAACCTTCATCTATAGGGGGACAGGGTACAGGAAAGAAATGCAGGGACACTGAAATAAAGCTCCCAATTTTCATAGTCATACTCAGGATCCCCAGCTTACCTTCCTGTCTGTGCACAAATGAAAGCCCTGATCAGATATATTTAAGTTCACAAGCTTCTGTACCTGCCCGGAGGTAACAGCAGTCCTGACCTTGACTTTGGAGGTGATACACAGGCCAGTGAAGTCAAATTATTTGGCCTTGATTCAGATGAAGCTCACTGCTGAAACGTGATCACAAAGTATGGCTCTGTCAACGAGTGATCAGCTACCTCCAGCTCCAGATAAGTGGAGTAAACAAGCAATTTCACACTCTGTTAGAGAACAGGATTAATATGGCCAGATTATCAATACATTTTCCATGGCCTATTTAAATCCTCTTTGTTGCCTTTCATACAATACCCTGGTTTTATGGAGACTAATGTCTGCGGAGAATTATTTTGATGAAAGCTGACTTTTGGCCAATTTTAGAAGCAAATTATAATTGTCCTTTCACTCTGATAATTTAAGTTATAAAAAAATCACTACTTCAGCATATCCACGCTCTCTAACAGGACAAACTGATCCTGAAACTTAATTAGTTTCTGAATGAGTTGCAAACAACACAAAGACAATAGAGAGCTCAAGAGGAAAGGGAATCAGCTTGAGTTCACAGGGGAACCAATTGAGCAG